CATGGGGCGGCTTGTTTTGCGTGATTCCCCATTGATGCCAGCTGTTCGTTTCCTGTGAAGTGAATATTTAATGAGTTGAGACGTCTCACATCCATCCGCACCGTGAGGACGTCGATGACGAAACGCGTAGGGCGGAGCTTGTTTGATGTGACGTCATTACGTTTTTTTGGCTGCCAGCTATTGCGCATGTGCTGAATAGCCAGGCTCTTTTATGTGATTGCTGTTATGCTGTTGATGCTGGTGTCGGCTGGGACACCTCTTGAGTAAGTGCAATGAGTACCTAATAAAGGAATTGGTTTTTATAATATTGCACCATGAAGTCTTTCTGTTTCTCCCGAGTGCTTGGCATTTCCCCCATGGATACGATTGAAGGTGGTCTTTTCTTTTGGAGAAAGGGATTTCCGATTAAATTACAAAGTTTCTGATCCTGTTATTTGATCGATGAGGATCGGTGTGTTGCTGAGTTTTCGCTTCTGAAAATATATTTATGGATGATCTGCCATCATATTATCAAGGTTTTTTGGTGAAATTCTTCAAGTTTAGACACTTTTTTTTGCACAAAAAGTTTTTTTGCACTTAAAAGTTTTTTTTGCACTTTTTTGTGGTATTGGCATATATATTTTTCTGGACTTATGATTTGATGATTTTTTAGATATATTTTTTTTATATATTTATATACATTTACTAGCGCAAATTATTTACTAATTGGTACACTTTATATATGGTGGTTTTTTGCAGCTAGTACACTATAAGTAAGTTATATAATTTTGACCATAGGCGCTATTATTAATTTTTTCTGATGAAGAACATTACAATATACTGTATGGTGTTATTTGATTTATCTTCAAAGATACTTGGCATAAGCTGTAATTACATATTTCCAACATGCAGATAATTATTAGGGGGAAAAATTTCAAATCCATCTAAGAAATACAATCATATCAAGGGTAAATAAAAAGTCTCTAAAATATTAAAATGTCCTCAAATTACACATTCATGCATGCTTTGAAAAAATAACTGATATAATTACTATATAGAATCTTTATCTAACTGTTGTTGCAGTTAAGAAACTAAAAATCAGGGTATTCTGGAACAAAGAGTATATGCACCCGTTAGGCTGACACTTTATGCACGTGATAGTTTAGGTCCTGGGCATCAAAAATGCTACTTTTAAGGGAATTTGACTTTTTTTCTGCCTCTAAATACCCCTCCTTGCTAGCCTACTTATGTGTCCATGCACACATAAGCATTTACAAGCATTTAGATGCAGCAGAGTTTAAAGGCAGAAAAAAAACAAAAGCAGTGCATTCGGGAGAGGAGTGGTTTGCTGCTAAAAAATGCCTTACATGCCTAAATGTGTGTAAATACATCTAAACAAGCATTAATGAGGGTGGTGGAAATGAATTATAAGTGTTTGGCAATGTGGTATATTACACCAAGTGTGGCACATAAACAACAAATAGATAAATCACCTTTTTGTTGGAGAGGATGTGGGATAAAAGGCACAATGGCACATATATGGTGGGGGGGTGCCATACAATTCAGGAGATAATGGGAAGAAATAATTTATTTAATTCAGGAGATAATGGGGGTTTTGGTTCCGAAAGATCCAGGGAAATGCTTATTCCATAAAACTGAGACTACAGTTGAAAAATATAAGAACTCATTGACATTTCATCTGATAAATGCGGCAAAAGGGTTAATACCTAAATTTTGTCAAGAGCAGGAAATACCAAAAAAAAAATTGGATTAGTAGGGTTGACTATGTATATAGGATGGAGGAACTCTACCATCAGGAAGAAGATAGAATGGTGAGATTCAGAGAAAGTTGGGAGAAATGGGATAAGTTCAAAGAGGAATGTAAAGAAAGATAGGGAGGAGGTAACAAAGGAAGAAAGAGAAGGGTGTCTTAAAAAGAGTGAAGAGTAAAGAAGTGGAGCGAGGAGATAAGAGGGAAAATATTAGGGAGCAGAGGTGTGCAAGGGGGTGGGAGTGCGTGGGGGTGGTTCTCTTTTTTTAGAGGTATAAGGGAATTGTGTATTGTTGAATATTTTGAAATTTTTAATGATGTAATGTGATCTATTGAAAATTAATAAAATATTTATTTAAAAAAAATAAACATGCATTAATGCTGAGGCGCATCACATCTTGAGGATTCATTCATTTCAATGGCCAGAATAAATTAATATTCTGACCAATAAAATGAATGAATGCCCAAGCACTTGACAAGCCTAAATGTGTTTGCAAAAGTGCAGCTTTAGGTGCATTTTTGACGCTGCTTTTCTCCTGCTAGGAGACTGGCAAAGTTATGAGTGCAAGCATTCAGTGTGCATGGGGCCTTATGCTCTGTGTGATCTTCTTTGACCACATTAGTGCATTACAAGTCACCACACTCTGGCCTATTAGATGCTTCCTTGATTATATAAATTACGCTGCTGAGCACCTCCTATAGTCCTTAATGAGCCATAGTGTGCAAATAATATAAAACTCAGATATAGTGCTGCACCTAATAAATATAATTATACCTTAAACATAACAATTAGTATAAATGGATAAAGTGATCAAGCAAAGTGCAAAAATATAGTGCAATGGTAATAAAATGCAATACAAAACTACTCCAATATTAAGGTGCAAAATATCCATCCTTATATATCTTCCCCATATAGTCTGCAATCATTTACTTGAAACCAAATTTATACTCAAATGAAAAGTTCAGCCAATATAAAGTGCTAGAAGTTGTTTCCTAAAGTGCTGATCCCAAAAAAGAACAGTGCCTTCATCCATTGTTTCTATATTAAAGCGAAGTTCCACACTGTGAAAAAATAAAAAAGTCAGCAGCTACAAAAACCGTAGTCGCTGACTTTTAAAAAACAGCCACTCACCTGTCCCACGATCCACAGTGTCCTCCCCGCAGCCTTTCACCAGCCGTCTGGTGTTCCAGGCACCTTTAGTGTGGGCACCCGGCTGTGACAGCTTGTGACTTCAAACCACTGCGCATGTGTGAGTAGCGCTGTGCTTCCTGAATGGCACCTGTCATGTGTCCCAGAAGACTACAGGGAGGGAGGGTAGGAGGGCAGCTTCTGCTTTCAATCGCATAGGTGATCGCAGCGGAAGTAGTAGTAGTACCTGTCAATTTTGGGTACTTGTTCCCCCCCACTTCCCAAAGATGCCAATACGTATTGGAGAGCGGGGGACCAGTTTTTAAAGCGGAACTTCCTCTTTTGGCTGGAGCTCCACTTTAAATACTAACTGTGCTGGTTTCCACCTTCCCTTCACCCTTAATGGTCATCACACTCACTGGATCTGATGTGACCTCTTATGTGCTCAGAAGGTCAGTTTGCGCTTTGTTGTATATCCTCCATTGGTCCTCTGCACTGTTTCTCCACTCAGGCAGCTCCACCATAGATAGAGGGGACTCCCAATAGCGTTATACCATTATCAAAATTCTTTAGTTCATAATACAATAAATTAACAAACGCAGAGCAATGGCATTCTATTTTACACCTAGCTTATAAAGGCATTCTTAATATCTCCCTTGTGGAAGAAAATATAAAGGTAGTGACTAGATAGTATATGGTACCTGCTTGGCTTTTGAGGCTATATTCGATTTCCTCACCCCTTTGTTTTAGGGGCTGCCAGTTGCTGGGTTTGATGCGTCACATTTGGTGGGAGTGTCCAAAACTTCAGGGCTTCTGGAATAGAGTGTTTGCTCTGATCCATATGTTTACTGGGATCCCGTTCCCACACTCACCCTGTATTGCACTTTTGAATGAGCCAGTGGAAGACCTACCTCACTCAACGAGAAAACTGATTTTTTTTTTTAATGTTCCTAGCAGCTAAGCTCATGATAGCCCATTCTTGGAAAAAACCTTCGGTCTTTATGTCATTGTAAAGACATAAGGTCTCCTGGATAATGTTGAATGAACAACTGTCCAGTGTGATAACTTTTACTGTTAAACAATTTGAGGCAACATGGGAACTTTGGCCAAACTATGTTCATGTAGATCTGTAATGTTTCCTTTGTGGAGTTTCAGCCAGGAACCATACTCCTCCCCTTCCTCAAAGAATCCACCCCTTTCCTTTCTTTTTCATCTTCTCTCCTTTTCTTTTTTTCTATATTTCTTTCTGTTATGGCCTATTTAGGCTTAATGTTGTTAGCTCTTTGAGGTCGAGCCCTACTAAATTTTGGAGTTGCGATCCGAACTTTCCAATCCTGACCATAGCCAGACCCTATCAGGTAACACTCCTCACGTTGGGGGGTTCCTGCCATGGTAATGTACAGTTTATTTGGCCCTCCAGCCAAAGATTATTGTGATCTTCTTTGTTCTGTGTAAATGGGAGCCAAGGCCTTCACCCCGCACTTAGGTAATCATTCTTGAATTGCTTTTGTTCTTACAAATTGATCTATTTCTCACCTTTGTATTTGTGAAGCCAATCAAAAAATTTTAAGTAAAATAACAAACACTGCTAGCAATGGTATACATTCACTATTGATTTGCCCACCAACAAGATGGCTATGCATTTCACGGCACCTGAGTTACGTCACTGGAAGAGACACAACCAGAAATTATGTAGGTATTGCATTGCAGCACTGAAAAAAAAAAAAAAAAAAAAAAAAAAAAATAAACTGATTTTGGTACCTGGTTTTGAAGAATATAACTTAATCAGATTCAAAAAGCATACAGTATGTCTGTTTTATTCTAACTTATTGCTGCTGATATACCGTACAGCAGCAAGTAACCAAGAACAGGGCTAAATTGTTGCAGTGTGCATAGCAATTATAATTAATGATCCTAAACTGATATTCAATTCTGTGCTGCCATTTGAGTCTGCCATGTGCATTGAACATTGCACTTCCTTTTGCTATAAGGTGCTTTATAAAAATAAACCAATAAGAGAGTCACTAACAGGGGCGGACTGACCATTCGGGAACTCGGGCACTGCCCGAGGGCCCGGGGTCAGTAGGGGGCCCCATGAGATGCCCCTGGTACCTTTCATAGGCATTTTTGGGTGTGGTTTGAGTGTGGGCGTGGACACAGGGGCCCCATGATCCCCTATTGCCCGGGGGCCCCATCAGTTGTCAGTCCCCCCCTGGTCACTAAGCAATAAAATATGCCTTTGCCCAGCTAGGCAGTATATCAAAAAAATTCATACATGATGCTATCAAAGGAAACAGGCATGCATTTGTATAGTATTTTGTCAGAAATACTATATATACTGTATAAACACCAAAAATACTATGTAGTGTTTGTTTGCAGGTGCATAGTAAATAGGATTTGGTTATGCATGATTGACACAGTGGATTACACACATATATTATTTAGGCAAAGCAAATAGAACACATTTTATCATAGCCTGTAATCAGGTGATGGAAAGAAAATGCAGAAATAGTATCCTATCTGTATCCCTGGATACATTAAAAGAGCTAATATGGTTAAACTAACAATTTATTCTTTAAAACAAAAAGGTCTTGTTTGTAGGTCTGCAGCTGGAGTTTTCAGCTTTTAGACAAATAAACCATGGCATGCTATTTTGACAAGATATACAATTCATGTTTTAGCCAGGTTCTATATTATTAATTCAGGCAAAGTAAAATCTATAAAGCATAAACAATGGTAAATTTGTCTTTGATTCTGACCAAGTGCAGGTATGTCTCGGCAGCCTTTATTATTTTATCATGAAAAAGACAAATCAATAATGGCCAAATCCAATACTGTCTGAAATAAATTTACTGCATTTCTACAGTTTGATACTAAAGTGTGATTTGTTTTTGTCCCTTGATGGTTTGTTTTTAGCTTTTTTTTTTATCCCATTAGCATGCTGAAACAAGGAAATTTGTATAGACTACAGATATACAAATGCGAAAACTATTAGGATTAGAAATACAGAAATGTTTATACATGACCATACAGTCATATGCTAAAAGTAATTTAAAGTCAACCTGTGGCTAGGTTATGGACATTTATTTACACATACTTAACAAGTAGTAAATGACAAATGACTAAACAATCTGTCACTTATCTCTCTAGCTGCAGATACTGTAGAGGAATTAATCCTTAAAGCCCAACCTTAAAGTTTTACAACAGTAAAAATCAGTCTGTATATGCATTAAAGCATGCTTGTTAAACTTTCAGTGGAACCTAAGGGGTTAATCCTCTGCATTGTGTAAAAATGCTGTTTGATCCTGACTTTTCTGATCCTCCCCTTCTTCCAGTGTTCCCCTTTTATCTCCTGATAAGACATATTGTGTGGAGACACTCTGCACATGCTCAGTTTGGTGTGTATTGCTAAAAGATTTTTTTTTTTCCCTTGGGAGAGTGCATGTGATCAGCACAGGGCCAATCAGCACTGCCCAGACAGAGGTCAGGGGTTATGCAATCCTCCTAGAGCAAAAAGAAAACTCCTACAAGCTTTAACCAGTGCTGGACACTGATATACGTCACTGGACTGCTCTAACTGCTGATGAGAAAAGGTATTTAGCAGTTTATATTTTCTAAAATAATTGCATTTCCATGTTCTGTGTACTGTGGGAGACCAGATATAGTGAATTCAGGGTCCTTGGTTTAGTAACACTTAAAAGCTCAATCCCTCAACGTCCTCAACTCTAATGCAGGCTTATGGACCCTGCATCAGTCTTGATTACATCAGAAGTGCCTTTGAGCGCCAGAGTGTAGATGAGAAGATGTTGCAAGGATCAGCCTAGCAGTGCAGAGGATCCTCTGAAAGTAGAGGATCGGGTAAGTAAAAGTGCTTTTCTTGGTCCTCTAGACCTAAACGAGCAGTTAACTCCTGCAGTTTTTTTGGAGTTCAGCTTTACACTTGGAGTAGAAGTACAGCTACCCCAGCTTGACCTTACTGTTGAGATGGGGGAGTAGAGGGAGTTGAACTGCTAAAAGGAACATTTCAGACTTCACTACTTTAGCAGCAAATGTTGAGGATTCATTTCTCCATGGTGCCTGCAGATACAGAGGTCAGTGAGGGCTTGTTCTGCTTTCCACTTCAAGCAAATAAATTAAAAGTAATTTAAAAAAACATAATTTTTTTGAAGATAAGTTCAGAATATCAAAACTTTCAAATTACTGAATGACAGGGTTTAAATGTTGGTGTATCTCCTAAGTCAACAATTACAAAAGGAATCTGAATACCGGTAATTAAAAATTGCTGCTATGTGATGATTTTTATTTAATTCAATTTTAATTTAGATTTTACTTGAATTAAACTATTACATTTTAAGTTCAGATACATTTTTCGTGAACCAGATCTGCATCTTTATCATGCCAGATTGTTGCATGAATCAACTAGTTTGTTGTACAATATTTTGCACTCTTTATGCAAATGAACTCATACTTTGGTATGCCCTAGAACCTCTGCACATATTACAAAGGAGCAAACTTGTAGCTAGGGGTTGTAAGGTTATAGCCATATTTATTATTTGTAATTAATTTTGTCACAAATATGAAAAACCTCAATAGCCCCAATGTGATTAATGGGGTTAATTGTGTTTAATCATCTAAGAACTTAGTTCAGACATTCATTTAAACGCTAATGGTTTTTCCTTGCCCTGTTGAAAGCTAGCTAGACAGGCATTTGAAGGGTTGGTGATGTGACAGAAAGTGAAGACAGAGTCAGAGGGCTAGTGGGAAAGGAACCATTTGAAGAACACAGCTAAACCAAGAGTGGAATTGATGAACAGCTAAACTGTGTGCTCTGATGAAGAGAAGATCAGACCACCAACAACCTTTAATGAATCATGCATCAGCCATGCTCTCTACCAATAGAAGTGCCTGATCTAAGCAAGTCATTTTTCACTGAGCACATAGATGAATGGTATTTTGTTAAATACTTAAAGCAAAGTATAGATAGTTTTGGATCTATTGGATTATGTAAATGGACAAAATCACAATTTTGTTTGTACATATTACAGTATTAAACTTTCTGGCATCTTTTTATACTTCTAATTCAATAAATATGTCTCACATTATCTGTGTAAATGACTATGAAGTCCACTGTAGATGTTTTCCTTGGTGTTATAGAAGTGGACTAGCTCACCAAAGATGGAGTTGGATAGAAATGCTGAGCTGGAGGGTTGGCAGATGCTAGTTAGGAGAATTGCAGGTGTCAAAACCAGCCAGATGTAGACGATTCCAAACAGTGAGACCGGAGTATAGCTGAACATATCAGCAAGGTCAGGGCAGATATGCAAAGTTCAGACATGCAAAGTCAACAAAAATGTCAAACTGTGTGACCGTCCACAGGCTAAATAATTTTAAGACTGACAACTTGGAAGTGGAACACGTTGCCTTTAAATAGGGAGCCTAACCATTCATGATGTATGCTGACCAGGGGCAGGCTGACAACTCATGGGGCCCCTGTGTCCTCGCCAACACCCAAAAAAGCCTATGAAAAAGTCAATTAAATGAACCAGGGGCATCTCATGGGGCCCCCTACTGACCCCAGGCCCTCGGGAAATGTCCGAGTGCTTGAATGGTCAGTCCGCCCCTGATTGTGACTCTCACAGATGTACAGATGTGTCTGTCCATTCCTCTCCAAGTGAACATCACATTTGAGGATATAAATGAAATGGTGGGACACATGTTTACACACATGAGGAATCTAGAAATGTTAGAACCCATCAGGAATCAAAGAACAGCAAGACTGAAGGAAAGGGGGAACTGTTTTATGGATGAGCAAATGAAGACTGACCCACAGCCAACTGCCAGATGTCTGACCATCCCCCAGATAGCCAAACTTTAAAGGAAATGAACATACTGCAAATAATTTCATGGCAGCTTGTTTGATATCCAAGGAGCCTTTAATCTCTGACCATTACTTTGGCATATTCTAAATAATGCCCATTAAACAGTTAATTCTATACAGACTGTAAGCAGAATCATTGAACCCTTGCACTTACAAAATGCTAATAGCATAGTCAGGGATGTAAAAATTATTTTGCAAGAGGCATACTTCTACAAGGTGAAAAAAAAGGCACATACAGTACATGTCACATTGCTGATTGTTGCCAATTTGCAAGCGCTGGATTACTATAATGTGATCTAACTGCACCATAATGTTACCTTGTTTCAAGTACATATTACAAAATCTAGAATGATGTTGTGATGTCAAAAGGTGTCATACTGACAAGGTAGAATTGCTACAGACAGATGATTCATCTTGCTTTGGAAGCTGAGAAAACTACAGGATTAGTTTGACAGATGTGACCACAATTACATATGCCCCCAGTCTTCAGAGCACAACTGTTATGGTAATCAGGATACTGGATCTTCAAGAATGTGGCTTTCAGGTGCAGGCTGATATTTGACGATGTCCATCCAGTCACTGTGAGGATAAGTAACATTCTTGCCCTGTATTGTGCCCAAGGATTCATTTTGTAAAGACAGCCAATGTCAAATGAAACATACAACTAATCAATGCAGTTACTGGATAGACAATGTTAAACATCCACTGCCAGACAGATAAAAACAATTAAGACTGCACATGAAAACCGCTGCCGAATAATGCCTAAATTAGTGGTATGATGCTAGCTAGCTCTCTAACTACAGCTACCGACTTACAAGCTGATTATGCCTCAAACAACTTGCCTTTCTAGGGTCAAAACCTTTTTTCACGTGTTTTAAAGCTTTCTGCCTTGCCAAAGCATAATTCTTGGTGTCTGTTGACATGGGTGTTTTGTTACAAAAATATTAGATTTTTATATTTACAACTTTAGTTGCTAAGAACTTTCCAACGTAAAGCACATCGTAGGCACACTTCTCCAGTTCTGTGGGTAATGTTTTTCATTGATATAAAATGTAAACTACAACATCTGGACACTGGATGGTGCTAAGTATCATAGGAATTTCCATAATTCTTATCTCCATCTAGGGGGAAATTATCGTATTTTTTGTTTTTAATTAATAGAAAACATTCAACCAGTATAGGAAATAGTATAATAACATTTGTTTTGCCCCATTAACAGAGAATGTTAAAAAAGCTATAGATAATAGGAAAATAATTTTAAAATATAAAAATGAAGGAACACTATCATTGTTTAAACATTACAAAGAATATAACAG